GTCACCATCCTTGAGGATCTGAAGTATGTTTTTGATCTGATGTTTCAGCAGTCGTACAGCTGCCTCGGCCCTGTTAGGCCATGGTGTTCCAGGGCCTGTTGCCACAGGCTTGATGTTTTGCCTGTTATAATAGGCCTCCATTTTTGGAGTCATAAAGGCCTGATCTCCAACAACAACCTTTGGGTTGATCTGATATTTCTCAAAGTAATCATTCATAATCGACATTGTAGTATTTTCCTCCTTGTCTTGTACAACTTCGGAGGTCAAAAGATTTGTCGCTCCATCATAAAGAATTCAATATATGAGACGGCTAGCCTTGCCAGGAATTGGCAACTCTCCATGATCTACAAAAGTTAGATCACCGAAGGTTTCCGATCTTAAACCGGAGATTTTTGCTCTTGAAGGAGCTCGTTTATGTTCATGGCAGGCAGAGCATTTCTTGACCAGTTGGTCATAAAGTTCATAAAGCTCCTTTGGGATCTGAAGAGCCTTCGTTCTTCTTTTGAACTGATCTGTATTCATGTGACGATGCTTCAGATGAAGCCTATAAAGTTCTACTGGATCCTTGAGCTTCTCATGAATCCTACGAAGGGCTATCGGAAGAGATGGTGATGATTCCGGAACAATCTCTTCTTCATGGAGTCGCTCACCTGATGGTGAATCTGTCCTAGGAGCCGGGTATTCTCTTGACTCAAGTGGTCTTGCCTCCGTCCCATGGTCAGCTCCTGGGACAGCAGATGTTTCCTCTATTGGAGGTTTGTCTGCATATTTGCGATCCTTCTTCAAGAGATTCTTTAGACCCTTTGGGGTCTTCACCTTTCCTGGTGGAAGCTCCGGTTTATCTTCAGATGGAGGTTCGGGTGGTCCCGAAACTTCAGGCGGTTTGTCTTTTGAACCTGATGATGGCTCCGATGGTTCGGAAACTTCAGGTGGCTTATCTTTTGATCCTGAAGAGGGCTCCGATGGTTCGGCAGGCTCAGGAGCGTCACCAGATGATTCTGGTAGAGGTGCCTGCTTCTTTCCCGGAGTCCCTTTGGGTGGAGGATCAGGTGCTCCTTCAGGTGCTTTGTCGCATCCTTTTAGAAACGCGTGAGGCTTTTTCTGTCCTGCACAAGCTGGACAGCGACCATCTGGAATCTTCTTGTAAGATCTCCTTTCGTCTTCTGGCTTCTTTGATCCTAAGGCGGTCTCTGTCGCTTGAAACGACGAGTTTGACTTAGAATGATACTTCCTTGTGGAAGTGAAGCTCAGAAGATCCAATACCAAGTGATTATTGGTGCTTATTGGAAGTGGAGTCTTATTGAGGCCAAAAGCTTCACACGTTGCAAGATCTGCTGTGGGACTGCACTCAAGGGTCATCCGGAGATTTCGCATTTGTTCAATGGAGAACAAAATGGGAACTCTTCCCTGATCAAGCACTTCTATGGTTGTATCTCTTCTAGGAGTTGTAATGAACCATAGAGTGACACGCTCCTTGATAAGAGCTGTTTCACTATCCGCAAAGGAGAACTTCGTGTTCGAAGGCGAGAAAGTGAAGTCAATCATGCCTGGTGCATGTTGCTTAACGGCCTTGATAAGCCGATTCACCGCATAGCGGGATCCCATGGCCCTTGTACAACCTGAGTCAAGAATGACAAAGGTAGGGCTTCGATCAAGATTGATCCGCTCTGTAAGAGCAGACAGAACGGTGTGCTGCAAAGGGAATACCGCTGTTGCAGTTTCCACACCTGGCCCACGACACTCTTCATGTGTCAAGGGCAGATAACTCTCAGAAGAGTTGTACACGGTTTCTTGGTGCGCGCTCGGATCTGTGCCTCTTCCTGTTGATCCTTTGTTCATTTTTCTCCTCTTTTTCCGTGCTTTTCGTTTTGAGGCATGTGCATAATATGTGTAAGACGTATTTTCGTCATAAGCGGCATAAACCCAACCTGTTTCAGTATAGTAACTGTCTTCATACCATGAATCCCAGCTCGGTGTGGTGGAACCTTCATAGGCTTGTGGAGATCCTGTTTGATCTCCTTGTAAGGAGGCAGACTTAGCTGTATCCTTACCTTTGCCCTTTGCCTTAGCGCCTTTAAAACAGCTTCCTTTGTTTCCTTTTTCCTTTCCTTTTCCTTTGTCCTTTCCTTTTCCTTTACCGAAATAGCTGGAATCGGTTGGATGATGTTCTGCCTGGTTGGCTCTCCCTTTTCCGCGGTATGACCTGAAACGGCCACGTCCTTTGCGCTTGCCACCCTTTGCTCTTCCCGGTGATCCGGAACGCATTTTTTGGCTTCTTCCGGTTTTGAATCTCCTCGCAATGAAGGTCTCATGATCATCGACTGTCCAGAAGACAGTATCTTCCTCAGCGGCAAGGAAGCCTTCCTCGAGGGTGTCTTCGTCTTGGAGCCAGAAACCATCTACTCCATCATATTCACCTTGATCGAGGATGAGGAAGTTACGACCTCCGCGTTTGCGGCGTTGGTCTTTCCGTCCGTGCCGGTCCTTCTTGTGAGAAGTGTGCCGAATATTTGGATCCTGCAGACCAGTTCTGGTCGTCGAAAACTGATCGAACATGGTCTGTCGTACCACAGGGTACGTGTAGGTCTCAATTCGGTACCCTTGGTTGGTCAAGGCTGATACCAACCGCTCACGTTGTGTCTCATTCAGATCGGACTGCACTAGGAACAGGAGAGCTAGGAGATTATCGTTTAGTGGAAACGCTCTTCGATGTCTATCAAGGCGTTCCCTGTTCCACGTCTCAAAGTATCGTGCGGCGTACTGTTCCTGTTCAATTGCATCCTGCAGGCGTACGAAGGCTGGATCTGCCTGTACGGCAGCAAGAAATTCTGGATTGGCATCTTCCAGGTTTACCTCTGGTAAGAGGTCCATCCAAAAGTTTCTTAGACGCTGCAGTACAATCTCAAACTTCGCAATCCAGGTGACGAAGTCCTGGTTGCCCTTCCAAGCCTTGAACAGGCCAAGGAACCGCCACAGGAAAACGTACTGTTCTCCTTTTACGAAAAATGGACGCATCTTCTTCTTGAAGTAATCTACTCCATCTTGGGCTGCAAGCCTTTCTCGGTTCAAAGATTCCTTTTGAACTGCGGCCAATCCGGAGAGCCTCGTCTTGAGAGACGGACCTCTTTTGGTCTCATCCAGCGTTGTTATGTCGCACCAGTCGTCAATCAACTGTTCATACTCAAACCACGAAGTGGTGCCGTCATAGGCAGGCGTGATCTTAGGCGTGATGCCTAGTTGGGCTAGCATGCGGTCAGATGCTGCATATGACTGTGCGACATAAGTAGCTGGACCTTGTGAGGTCTCTTCGTCCTCATATCCCCCGGAGGATTGAGAGCTGTCGTCGGCTTCGCTAGGCGAGCTCGACATGGTGCTGCCTCAGCCCGCTTTGTGAAGCGATCGGCTGAATGTGACCGCTGTTGCGGTGCTGTGTGAGGCGGGCGGCCCTTCCAACCTCCGCTACCAGAAAACTGAGCCGATACACCCCTTTAGGATTACTCCTGTGGGAGTGTATGACCAGTTTGAGTCCCGTGGGATCTAAGGCAACGCCCAGCACACGGACAGCAAGTGTTTTGTTCTGCTACGCAGAGAGAGCTTGTGTCAAGTCGGTAAAACCACTTGAGCAAGCGAGCAACGGACATATATACATGTGAGCATACAGCCATGCCATTGCCGAAAGTACAACCCCTTTGGGAGTTTAGGCAAACAGGGGGCAGGGGGGGGGCAGGGGGGCAGGGGGGGCAGGGGCCGGGGGGGGCAGGGGCAAAAAAACAGGGGGCGAGGGGCAGAAGGAGGGGGGGGACGGGAAGGCGAAAAAGGGGGCGGGAAGCCCCAAAATCCAGGCGAAAAAGGAGGAAGGGGCGAGAAGCCTAAACATCCAGGAAAAACGGGCAAGGGGGTGGGAAACGGAAGTAAAAAACGGCCTCGGCGGATTCATCATGGTGCTTCCTTCATTTTCCCTGGCTTTCCTTTCCCTTTCGTGAAGAGTTTCCGACAGGCATGCCAGACTAGACGACTTCCGTTTGTCGTCATCTGTTTTTTCCGGCTCATAGATTGGCATATGTTCGGCGTTGATGGAGGTTGTGTTTTTTTGCAGGGTCCAGCCACGTGGGCATTAACTGCAGCTCGGTCTGCCAGGCATGGCTGGCGCAGGCGCAGAAGGTTCCTGGGGTTCACCGCCGCGCCCAAACGGTGATTCCGACCGACGAGCACCTGACAGGTCTGACCCATTCTGACCCCAGAGGAGCGCCAAGACTATCGGGAGTACAGTCTGCCCATGCTGCGAACCGAACTTGACATGCTCCGACAGGGTTGGTGGATTCCGTATTTCAGAAGCTTCCGACGGAAACTTGCGCTTGCGCCGCACCTCGGATCCGTCGCGTGCTCAAAAGGCGCCTCTGTCGTGGTGACGAGCGACTATACCGACCAGGCAAGGGGCTGCTCAAACGTGATGTCGTCAGCTTTGGTGCCACTCCCGGTACATTTGTTTGGAGAAGGCAACTTGTCCAGAACATGTCGACGATGAGTTGTGAGGTGCTGGAGCAGATGGTTGAGAGGAGCCCGTTGCAGTTAGTTTAGCAACCGCACTTCTCGCCGAAATCCGAAAAGGTTGCGGGTTCGAGCTGAAGGACGTGAAGGAGGAGTATGCTCGACTCCAGAAGACACGGCAGAGAGTCGCTGAAGTCCTTTGTTGATTCTTTGGGTGCCGCTTCAACGTATGCTCTTTCAGGAAGAGCTTTATGCGTGGATGCATGCTGGCACGTCTGGCACACACTGCTGGGAGTTTGGGGCGCAAACGTATGTCTGTCTCGCTAGAGTCTTGGCAACTTTAAAAGCTGTGATGTGTTGGTAGCAGTACTTGTGGGGCCGGTATGCTTTCCAGAGGCTTGGTTCGATTCAGTTAGATGTTCTAATTAGTCATGGCGGGAGACTCCTTGGCAAGTCGGCAAGCCGTTCTACCTCCTCACGGGAACGTTGGGAAATGTCGGAGGTGAAGGATGATGGATCCTTTCGCAGCCTTCGCATCAAGAAGTCTGGTGACAAAGACGGAGGCAGGTTGTTGGGATGCCATGACCATAAAGGAAGCCATCGAGCTATCGTGCGCAGTGACGCCGGAGACGAGTGGTGGCGTGCCGTGCCCAAAGCTGGTGGTTACTTCCTCCAAAAGGCAGCCGGGCCACAAAATGCGAGAGTACTTGACCCCAGGACAAACACGTGATGACCACTCCAAGCATGTTGACCTCGGGACGGCATTGATTTGGAACGTGGAGCTGCAGTAAGATATGCTTGGCCGTTTTCAGCGCTGCCGCGAGCTCCTGAAACGGCTGCATTGCATGCCACGACCCTACCGTTCCTCGCCACTGGTTTGGGGTGAGGTCGCCCAAGCCGTAACAGCCGAGCAGGGAAGTAGACGTGAAGCACCTTGATTTCAATCGGGACGACTGCACCCACCCGGTGATTTGCATGCTCGTGACTGCCCGCGAGAATTTTTGTCGGCACTGGCTCCTCGCGCCCTACGTGCGGCCATACACCTCCCTGCGCTCCCCTGCGGACTGGCGCCGGGGTCGAAAAAGTCAGACCGAGCCGTCCCGTGCTGGGCCTTCGTATTTGCAGAAGGAGTACGGCGAGAAGCTCGCAGCTTTGGCAGAGCGGCTCCGGCGAAACTCCTTGGGTCCTTGGGGAGGCCGGTGCGCCTTCGAGCTCCTCGTGGGTCAGCGTGCGCTTTGGGGCTTCGTGGCCTGCACCACCTCGGACATGAGGATCCTCTCCGCCTTTGGTCTGCTACAGTTCGCTGTTGTTCCTTTCTCGCTGACTTGCTCCTCGATGATCTTCAATGTTCTTGCCTGGGCCGCTTCAGATTTCTGCCCAGCTTTGTCATAGAGATCGTTTGTGCTGTGGTTGCTGATGCTGGATTTCCTTGTTTCAGCCTGCTTCGCCTGCTGGCGATGCCCGGATGGCAAGCCCAAGCAGCTACCACTAGGACAACAGCTGTATCACATGGCTTGGGGCACCCTCCAGTCTAAGACTGAGACCTACGTTCTAGTGCTGCTCATGTGCCGGGGCCAGCGCTTGAACTTGCCTTGGCTGGTCTGCGACTGGGGTATCTCCATTGCTGAACGGTTACCTTCAGCAAACGCCCTTTTCGGAGTGTTTCTTCTGCCATACCCACGGAACAGAATGGCGCACCTCCCCGGTGTCTACGAGCAGGCGCACCGTCTGCGTCACTTCCTTCCCGACGGCACAGCCTGGGATGCACACCTCTTCAGCGGCAATGGGTTTCCGGAGGAGTGGTTTACCCTGATGCTGGAGGAAGCTCTGCAAGCGGAGGAGCACCATGCAGACCATCACTCGCACCGTCGACGAATCTAAGGCTTCAGCAAGCCGATGCTGGACATCATCTTCGGCACGTACAAGAACAGCTGCAAGACGGAGTTGGAGGTTAATGGGATGCGTTACACAAAGGAATCGAAGCAAGACCACGTGGTGATCCACATGAAAGTGGCGAACCCTGAGATGCCCCGTGCGTCTCGGCAGAATCCGGCAGAGTGGCAGGCTGTGGTGGCTCACTTCCTCGGGTTCCTTGTCCTGATGGCAGGAGTTGTTCGAAGGGCCGATTTCGGTTTCGGCCGTGTGTGTACAGAAAACGCAAGGTGGCTGCAAATGCTTCCTGAACATCCTCGGGCTGACTTTAGAGCTTTCCGACTTGCAGTCGTGTCCGGCTGGAGGCCTGAAGTGGTGCAAGGCAGTTCCGAAGTCCTTTCAGCTTGCGCTAGAAGCAAAAGACGAGGACCCGAAACTATGGGGGAAGGGCTGCGCCCGAAGTGGGAAAAGCCACTGTTCCTGTTCGGCCTTGTTGCTAGATGTCTGCCTTTTGCAGGCCCATGCAGGCCCAATCTGAGGGGGAGAGAAATAATCCAACCCCCCATAATTACGGTGTAGCGGCATAGCAGCCCTGTGCCATGGCCGATGCAGATAGTGACAGCGACGATACCCGCTGGAGAGATTCCGACAGCTCCACGCTGAAGGTGCAAGTTCAAATGCTCAGCGGCGACACCGTGGCGACGGTGTCGTGCAAATCCGAGACGCAGATCGGCACGGTGCGGAAGAAGGCGGAGCTGGAAGCGGATGGCTTCTTTCAGCTGATGAGCCCGTCAGGACAGCTTATTCACGAGGCACTCGAGGCATACACAGTGGGAGAAGTCTTGGGGGAGCTGGAGGGCCTGGAGAACCTGTCTGTGCAAGCCATTACCACCAACGAGTCGCATATTCGGCGCCTTCGTGCCACGCTTGCTTGAACAGGAGACGAAGCGACATGCGTTCGTCAAGAAGGGGAGTTCGCCATTGTTCATACCCAACCACGAACGAGACGTCGATGGATGTGGGAAAAACCCGGCTTTATCACCTTCCAACCCACGACCGCAGCGATCCTCCGCTTCTAGAAGGAGATTCACGGCGAGTTTGAGCAATGTTGGCCTTTCGAGGAATTTGGAGACCGGGCCTTTGATCCCGAAGGGAGCTATCTGTTCTTCTGCAAAGAGGACCCGGACTGCATCCATGAGTTGTTTTACACTGGTGACAACCCCCGCCATCGGCATCATCGGCTCAGCGACCTTGTCCAGCCTGGTCCGGCAGAGATCACCAGCTCAGGCTCAACAAGCAACTCAGATGAGCTTAGGAGGGTTAGAGAACCGTAGTAATAAAGCCGTAACGTTCCAGAAACCTAAGTGCATGATCAGCGTGTTGTACGGTGCTGCATTGAGGCTCAGAGGTCTGCAAAGTTTCCTGAACCCTAAACCTTAAACCTTGAGTCCTTAAACCACAGCGGCTAAACCGTAAGCTCCAAAATCCTATAAACGCTAGGCCCTCAACGAAGTCCCCTAAACCCCACCCCCTGCAGCCAGACGCGTTCTTCCCTAAGCCCAGAAGCTCAGAACCGTCGCTCGCTCATCGATGTAGTCGCTTGTGAGACATCTCGCATGCAGCTAAGCCCTGACTTGCAAACCCTAAACCCTAAACGGCCCTAAATCTCAACCCTGAAACCCCTTAACCCTGAACCCCTAAATGAACAAAACCCACATGACCCGAAGCTCCCAAACCTGGAGTCAGCTTCACAACCACCAGCCACTGCGCAGCCCCAGGGCTTGTCTGGCATGCGCAACGTCAACCTTGCCAAGCTATGAACCGGGATAAAACATCGCCAATATCGGGAGTCGGTTGAAATGCCCGCAGGGAATTAATTCTCCAACCAGACGAAAAGAAGCCAGAAGCAATAAGACCACAAGTAAGATGAACTGGCCAACTGCCCATGACAATCAGTTGGCACCAGGAGGCCTCGAAGTTGCAGGTGATTACGTGGACTCCGTCCGCTCCTTTTGCACAGGCCCAGCGGCCCCGCCACTGCATCACCGGACAGCTCGGCTAGCCTTTTTCGACCCGGCGCGAGTCCGTAGGGGTGCGAGGCGCGGGCAGGTGCATGGCTTCAGCTGCCGCAACAAAGTCTCAGGAGTAGTCGCGAGATATGTTCCGACAAAGCCACATTGCTTTCTCAAGCAGTGCATAGGGCACCGCTCCTGCAACTCTCCAGGCGGGGAGCGGTCTTCCCGCTTGAAAGCAGGGTGTTTTCAATGTGCTTCACTTGAACCTCACTGCTCAGCGGTGAAGGATCAGACTATATCAGACTCACGGACTGCTCACGGATGACCGCACCCCGGATCCGCGGCTCGGCACGGAATGGTGCTGCACTGTGACGTAGGGTCATGGCAGCAGAGAAATGAAAAAAGAGTCTATACAGTCTATCTAGGCAGGCAAAGCCGGGCCTGCTTCGCTGAGAATAGCCGCAGTGGAGCTAGAGGAGCTCCAGCCGGAACCTGTTCTGACCACCGTCAGCCCTGAGAACCCTGAGCCGCCTCTGCCCATCAGTCGATGTCACGATGACGGAATTTCCATGACCTCCGATTCCGTCTGGCGAACCAACATACCAGGGCTTGTGAAACCCTTCGGTGTTCATCATCAGCACCAGGCAGAACGACGATTGGCAGCCCTCCAGACGCACGCTCACTCTCAGCCAGAAGCAGCCCGTATCACAACGCTTTGCGGGGCCTGTTCCTCCCTTCACACTGGCACGAGTTTGCTGGTCGAAGAAATCATTGGCCAAATCCTTGCTGCTCAGAGCAGTCGCGGACACCTTGATCTTGCCACCCGCTTGGCTCTCAACCTGGTCGGGTGTCATTTCACATGGCTCTTCTTTGGAGTAGTTGTACTTCCCCTGCTCGAAGTCGACATCCTGCAAAGGCGGGCCGTCGAACTGAATGTTGAACGACGGAAGAGTCAGCAGCCCGTCGGCCAGCAATCTGCCGATCTGCCCAAAGGTCTCAGCTAACTGATCGGCCATCCCGAAGGGGTCATCAGCCATGCTCAGGGAGTGGGCCCCCACCAGATGGAGGGGATGCTTAGATTGAAAGCTAAGCCTGTACAGCTGCAGAAAAAGACTGCGAACTAACGCAATTGCCCACGACCCTCATGCATGTGTGAGCAGATCAGCACCAGGCGACTGCTGAAGCTAAGGCTGTAGGAGCAGATAAACTTTTCCAGCTTCTTACGGACTCTCGAGCACCCCGTGATCGGAGACAACGAGGTCTCTGCACAGTGGGGGTACGCGGCCCTGGCCCAGTGGGGTCCACTTGTACCCTGCTAGCCAGCGACTCCCTCGATCTCCCTCGCATGGAGCCTCAAACTCGCGCGGATTACCGGCTGCGTCTGCCATCTGCGTGTTCCTCGCTTTCTACCTCATTGGCCTCTACCGGGGTCTTCACGAACGAGCTGCTGGAACAAAGTTACTAACCACTGACGACTGCCCCCGCGCGCCATCTCGCATAGCAAGCTCGACGCCCTAATAACAGATCGAAACAAACCTCACTCTGTCTCAGGCCGCTGCCGTCCCCAGAGCGCTCCGCTGCGTTCCCCTCCATACGCAGAACGGGACGGCTGGCTTCAGGTCAGGGTCGAAAGGCTTCGAAGCTTGGGGACGAGTACCGTTTAGAAGCGTGGGGCGCGAAAGATGATCACAGCATCAGGGGTCTGGAAGGCGAGCCTGCTGAACAATGAGGATCACTAAGGTCACTAAAGCAGGCGGATCACTAAACCTACCTGGACAACGACCCTTTAGGTTCTTGAGTCTTCGGATCAACAACATGTTTCTCGGATACCTGGCTTTGCTTCATGAGTTTTTACCCAAAGCTGCTTTCCAACTCTGGGCAACCCGTGCGGCCTCTCGGCATCAAGGCTATGACGGCTATGACATCGAAGTCCAACCTACAGCCACACGTCCCAGAAACTGCCCTGTGCGACGGTGCAAGCGTGTAAGCCGTGCGCGGTTTGGGAAAGTTTAGGGTTTCGGGCTTTTAGGTTTGAGGGGCTCCGGTGTTGGAATTCAGGCACAAGCGGCCGACTCGGATCCGGAGGTGTGGCATCGACAATCCAAAAATGGTGGATTGCAGGGAAGAGTCAGAAGGTCCCAGAGCACACAGAATGCCCAAACCAGCAGCACCCTGTTGGCTGGAACACGGCAATCAAATCCAGTGCCAGGTTTTGACCCTTCGTGCTGCTCACAACTTGAGCATGTTAATTGCCATCCATTTGCATGCTTGCCCCCGGATTGGAAGCTTGTCCAAACCGAGGGTCGCATCTGGCGGCAATCTGTCTTGAGTGGACACATGCGCTTAGTAACGATGCGATGGTCATGCTTCTAGGCGGGAGGCCTCTCACTGCACCACTACGCCCATTCGCTGGCATCTGCAATACCGAGAGGCAGTTGCGAAAGATGATTTGTTTTACCAGCTGCTGTTAAATTCTCAGCCGCTGGTGAACACACCGCAAGACACACCGAGCAAACCAAAACCTAGCACTGTGGTCTCTCCGAGCATAGGCCATGGAATGATTCCACATAGACATCCCGAAGCCCAAACTCCGCAGGAGGATCCGGGCTGGCCTGGAGTCAGCTTCACAAGAGCTGCCAGCCACTGCACTGTCCCAGAAGCGCAACAGCGACCTAAGCCAAGCTCTGAACCGTAGAAATCCGTAGAAAACAGGACAGCCGTAAGTCGCTTGACATGCCTGCCGGAAACCCTCTATACCCAGACGTACGGATCAAAATGACATGGCAGTTGGTACTACGTACCCACACGTGGGCTGCAGCCGACGGCTCTGCCCTGAGCAGGGTGACAGCTCGACCTGACTTTTCGACCCGCCGCCGGTCCGTAGGGGTGCGAGGCGTGGGGCGTGTGCATGGCGGGCATGGCTTCTTGTGCCGCACGTAGGGCGCGACCGAGCCAGCCCACGAAAAGTCTCGCGGGTAGTCGCGAGACGTGCTTCGACAAGCCACGTTGCTTTACAGGCGGTGCATAGTGCACCGCCCTGCAACTCGCAAGCAGGGTGCGGTCGTCTTGTTTGGGAACGAGTTGCTTCAAGAAGATCTCAATGCCCAGCTGTCAGGGTTCAAAGGCACAGCTGGTGACCGCACCCGGAGAGGGGCTCGGCACGGAAAGGAGCTGCGCAGTGACGTAGGGTCACAAGCAGCGAAACGGAGACGGCCCGCCATGGCCCGTCCTACACCCAGGCAGCTCAGTAGCCACAGGCGCTCAGGTCGCTTTGTGTGAAGAAGTCGTGTAAGGAGTCGCTCTGCGCAGGGACGAACCCCCCGTTCAAGAAATGGAGGAGGTCTTGCGCGAAGTTCTGGCAATTATGTCCGGAACTTCCGCAAAAGTCATACTTCTTGTCCTCCACCCACTCCTCAATGAACTTATCGATCTCTGCGTCTGTCTTCTCGGTGGTGCCTTTCTCATTGAAGTTTTTGATCTCAAACTCGGACTCGGTTACCTCTGACCGGGGACGCATGCCGACGCCAATGTCACCAGAACCAGAGGGCCCATAGGTCTTCTCCCAGCGACGATCAAATGATCGACCCTTCCCCCGGTGCACCTCGTACATCTTTCCCTCCGACCCCACCTGGACAGCATAGTGCCGAGCTGGCCAGATGTCGGTTGGTCTGCTGGCAATCCAAATCTGCCTCGGCATGGTGACACCTGTGCACGAGCTACGATGACACGAGCCTTGAGCCAAACTGTGCTGCCACAGGAACCCGTGCTTGCAACTTGGCAGAATGACGCAGCATGCCCGAGTCGCCACACGGAACTCCAAACTCTTGGATGCCCACTTGCGCGGCGTCCACGGCCACCAAAGAGCCCGGGAGAGCGCCTTCGAAGGCAAGCCGCTGACGTGCCAAGCAGCACCCAGCCCCTACACCGGGTCGTTGTGACTTGCCTGTGTGTTGCAGAGCTCCGTGGCTAGATGCAAGATTCTCTTGGCCCACAGCAGCACTTGCTGTGCCGGCGGCTGCTGTCACAAAGTTTGGTGCTGAGATCTACAGTTCTGCATGCCATCGGCACAGCCTTTGTCAAAGAAGCCTGGGTTTGCCCGACGGTGTTTTGCACACGTGCACTTGCTTCAGACGGAGAACAAGTGTCACATTCCGGGCCACTTAACTCCGGAGCACTCTCGAGTGTAAGAACGGATGTTCTGGCAAGAAGGCTACCAGGCCGAACTCTGAGTTTACCATGTAGGCTCCAGACATCTCCAGACGAAAGGAAACAGGTCCCACTGCGACCAAATGGCCTGACCGGCAGTTGACACCCATGCGTTGCCTGCAGCTCGATTCGATGATTCGACGGCTTTGCCCAGGACCAGGTCGCGCACCGCAACAGCCTGGAAGCGATAGGGTGATCATGCCGCTCCTTTGGCGAAGGAAGAAAAATGTCACGGAATCGCTTCTCTTCTAGTCGTTCTGGTATCTGAGCTTTGTCCACACATACTCAAACTATCGTGGCGTGCTTCGTCTCATGCTTAAGAATAACTCGAACCAACGACTTCCACCACGCCCAGCCATCCTGAGCCACTGGGACTATGTTCAAAGAACGACCTCGCAGACCCAGACCAGCACTAGTCCCTCATGCAGCTGCCTTGACAAACAAAGCGATCATGACTGCCTGTGTCTCCGAGCAGCATTGCTGTAGCAGCGCGCACGCCCCTGCTGCCGGATCTCAGAACCGGTCGGTTTTGGCATGCGGTGTGCTCAACCAGTACTGGAACCACTCAAACTCACTCAACCCAAACGCTCACGGAAAGAACTCAAACCACCCTTGTCAAACGAACCTAACGAAACTCTGCATATCTCGGCTGCGGGTCATTATGGCAGGCGCCCAGAAAATTCGATGTCTAGCAAGCTCATTCGGGGAGCGAAGCTCTTCCATTCATCCCCTGGATTGCCACAGGAGCCTCGGACCAGCGCTGGGACCCGCAACACAAGGCGTCCATCGCCTTTTCTGTCATGCACCAGCAGAAGTTCGGGAGGTAATTGCAGGAAGCTCCAACATGTGATGCAGCTTCAATCGCAGTGATTACCCGGCGCTTGAATCTTGAGGGCCCCATGGTTAATTTCGAAGCTGCCTACCTCGTGAGAAAGTTCGAGGCATCGTGCACACAGCTTGCGCGAAAACCAAGCGGAAGATCTACAACTGGCCGCAGCACCCCCGAATACAAGCCATGCACCTGGAGATGAAGCCGTGATCACCATAATCGCCTTTAAACGTTAACCCCAAGCTGGCTCTGGTCAACACGGACGTCAAGACGATTAAGACTAGGCCAGCCCCCCAATCCCCGCAAGCCCAACAAGACCGCATGACTCCGCGAGCAAACGAAAACCAAGCCATGGAATGTTTCCACATAGGCATCCCGAAGCCCAAACTCCGCAGAAGAAGGAGCCCGGCCGGCCTCGAGTCAGCTTCACAAGAGCCGCCAGCCACTGCACAGTCCCGGGCCTTGGCTACTACGTACCCACATGTGGTCCGCAGCCGACGGCTCTGCCCTGAGCAGGGTGACAGCTCGACCGACTTTTCGACCCGCCGCCGGTCCGTAGGGGTGCGAGGCATGGGGCGGTGCATGGCGGGCATGGCTTCTTGTGCCGCACGTAGGGCGCGACCGAGCCAGCCCACAAAAAGTCTCGCGGGAAGTCGCGAGACGTGTTTCGACAAGCCACGTTGCTTTACAGGCGGTGCATAGTGCACCGCCCTGCAACTCGCAAGCAGGGTGCGGTCGTCTTGTTTGGGAACGAGTTGCTTCAAGAAGATCTCAATGCCCAGCTGTCAGGGTTCAAAGGCACAGGTGACCGCACCCGGAGAGGGGCTCAGCACGGAAAGGAGCTGCGCAGTGACGTAGGGTCACAAGCAGCGAAACGGAGACGGCCCGCCATGGCCCGTCCTACACCCAGGCAGCTCAGTAGCCACAGGCGCTCAGGTCGCTTTGTGTGAAGAAGTCGTGTAAGGAGTCGCTCTGCGCAGGGACGAACCCCCCGTTCAAGAAATGGAGGAGGTCTTGCGCGAAGTTCTGGCAATTATGTCCGGAATTTCCGCAAAAGTCATACTTCTTGTCCTCCACCCACTCCTCAATGAACTTATCGATCTCTGCGTCTGTCTTCTCGGTGGTGCCTTTCTCATTGAAGTTTTTGATCTCAAACTCGGACTCGGTTACCTCTGACCGGGGACGCATGCCGACGCCAATGTCACCAGAACCAGAGGGCCCATAGGTCTTCTCCCAGCGACGATCAAATGATCGACCCTTCCCCCGGTGCACCTCGTACATCTTTCCCTCCGACCCCACCTGGACAGCATAGTGCTGAGCTGGCCAGATGTCGGTTGGTCTGCTGGCAATCCAAATCTGCCTCGGCATGGTGACACCTGTGCACGAGCTACGATGACACGAGCCTTGAGCCAAACTGTGCTGCCACAGGAACCCGTGCTTGCAACTTGGCAGAATGACGCAGCATGCCCGAGTCGCCACACGGAACTCCAAACTCTTGGATGCCCACTTGCGCGGCGTCCACGGCCACCAAAGAGCCCGGGAGAGCGCCTTCGAAGGCAAGCCGCTGACGTGCCAAGCAGCACCCAGCCCCTACACCGGGTCGTTGTGACTTGCCTGTGTGTTACAGACCTTCGTGGCTAGATGCAAGATTCTCTTGGCCCACAGCAGCGCTTGCTGTGCCGGCGCAGCTGCCACAAAGTTTGGTGCTGAGATCTACAGTTCTGCATGCCATCGGCACAGCCTTTGTCAAAAAAGCCTGGGTTTGCCCGGCGGTGTTTTGCACACGTGCACTTGCTTCAGACGGAGAACAAGTGTCACATTCCGGGCCACTTAACTCCGGAGCACTCTCGAGTGTAAGAACGGATGTTCTGGCAAGAAGGCTACCAGGCCGAACTCTGAGTTTACCATGTAGGCTCCAGACATCTCCAGACGAAAGGAAACAGGTCCCACTGCGACCAAATGGCCTGACCGGCAGTTGACACCCATGCGTTGCCTGCAGCTCGATTCGATGATTCGACGGCTTTGCCCAGGACCAGGTCGCGCACCGCAACAGCCTGGAAGCGATAGGGTGATCATGCCGCTCCTTTGGCGAAGGAAGAAAAATGTCACGCGAATCGCTTCTCTTCTAGTCGTTCTGGTATCTGAGCCTTGTCCACACATACTCAAACTATCGTGGTGTGCTTCGTCTCATGCTTAAGAATAACTCGAACCAACGACTTCCACCACGCCCAGCCATCCTGAGCCACTCGGACTATGTTCAAAGAACGACCTCGCAGACCCAGACCTAGCACTAGTCCCTCATGCAGCTGCCTTGACAAACAAAGCGATCATGACTGCCTGTGTCTCCGAGCAGCATTGCTGTAGCAGCGCGGACGCCCCTGCTGCCGGATCTCAGAACCGGTCGGTTTTGGCATGCGGTGTGCTCAACCAGTACTGGAACCACTCAAACTCACTCAACCCAAACGCTCACGGAAAGAACTCAAGCCACCCTTGTCAAACGAACCTAACGAAACTCTGCATATCTCGGCTGCGGGTCATTATGGCAGGCGCCCAGAAAATTCGATGTCTAGCAAGCTCATTCGGGGAGCGAAGCTCTTCCATTCATCCCCTGGATTGCCACAGGAGCCTCGGACCAGCGCTGGGACCCGCAACACAAGGCGTCCATCGCCTTTTCTGTCATGCACCAGCAGAAGTTCGGGAGGTAATTGCAGGAAGCTCCAACATGTGATGCAGCTTCAATCGCAGTGATTACCCGGCGCTTGAATCTTGAGGGCCCCATGGTTAATTTCGAAGCTGCCTACCTCGTGAGAAAGTTCGAGGCATCGTGCACACAGCTTGCGCGAAAACCAAGCGGAAGATCTACAACTGGCCGCAGCACCCCCGAATACAAGCCATGCACCTGGAGATGAAGCCGTGATCACCATAATCGCCTTTAAACGTTAACCCCAAGCTGGCTCTGGTCAACACGGACGTCAAGACGATTAAGACTAGGCCAGCCCCCCAATCCCCGCAAGCCCAACAAGACCGCATGACTCCGCGAGCAAACGAAAACCAAGCCATGGAATGTTTCCACATAGGCATCCCGAAGCCCAAACTCCGCAGAAGAAGGAGCCCGGCCGGCCTCGAGTCAGCTTCACAAGAGCCGCCAGCCACTGCACAGTCCCGGGCCTTGGCTACTACGTACCCACATGTGGTCCGCAGCCGACGGCTCTGCCCTGAGCAGGGTGACAGCTCGACCGACTTTTCGACCCGCCGCCGGTCCGTAGGGGTGCGAGGCATGGGGCGGTGCATGGCGGGCATGGCTTCTTGTGCCGCACGTAGGGCGCGACCGAGCCAGCCCACAAAAAGTCTCGCGGGAAGTCGCGAGACGTGTTTCGACAAGCCACGTTGCTTTACAGGCGGTGCATAGTGCACCGCCCTGCAACTCGCAAGCAGGGTGCGGTCGTCTTGTTTGGGAACGAGTTGCTTCAAGAAGATCTCAATGCCCAGCTGTCAGGGTTCAAAGGCACAGGTGACCGCACCCGGAGAGGGGCTCGGCACGGAAAGGAGCTGCGCAGTGACGTAGGGTCACAAGCAGCGAAACGGAGACGGCCCGCCATGGCCCGTCCTACACCCAGGCAGCTCAGTAGCCACAGGCGCTCAGGTCGCTTTGTGTGAAGAAGTCGTGTAAGGAGTCGCTCTGCGCAGGGACGAACCCCCCGTTCAAGAAATGGAGGAGGTCTTGCGCGAAGTTCTGGCAATTATGTCCGGAATTTCCGCAAAAGTCATACTTCTTGTCCTCCACCCACTCCTCAATGAACTTATCGATCTCTGCGTCTGTCTTCTCGGTGGTGCCTTTCTCATTGAAGTTTTTGATCTCAAACTCGGACTCGGTTACCTCTGACCGGGGACGCATGCCGACGCCAATGTCACCAGAACCAGAGGGCCCATAGGTCTTCTCCCAGCGACGATCAAATGATCGACCCTTCCCCCGGTGCACCTCGTACATCTTTCCCTCCGACCCCACCTGGACAGCATAGTGCTGAGCTGGCCAGATGTCGGTTGGTCTGCTGGCAATCCAAATCTGCCTCGGCATGGTGACACCTGTGCACGAGCTACGATGACACGAGCCTTGAGCCAAACTGTGCTGCCACAGGAACCCGTGCTTGCAACTTGGCAGAATGACGCAGCATGCCCGAGTCGCCACACGGAACTCCAAACTCTTGGATGCCCACTTGCGCGGCGTCCACGGCGAGCCCGGGAGAGCGCCTTCGAAGGCAAGCCGCTGACGTGCCAAGCAGCACCCAGCCCCTACACCGGGTCGTTGTGACTTGCCTGTGTGTTACAGACCTTCGTGGCTAGATGCAAGATTCTCTTGGCCCACAGCAGCACTTGCTGTGCCGGCGCAGCTGCCACAAAGTTTGGTGCTGAGATCTACAGTTCTGCATGCCATCGGCACAGCCTTTGTCAAAAAAGCCTGGGTTTGCCCGGCGGTGTTTTGCACACGTGCACTTGCTTCAGACGGAGAACAAGTGTCACATTCCGGGCCACTTAACTCCGGAGCACTCTCGAGTGTAAGAACGGATGTTCTGGCAAGAAGGCTACCAGGCCGAACTCTGAGTTTACCATGTAGGCTCCAGACATCTCCAGACGAAAGGAAACAGGTCCCACTGCGACCAAATGGCCTGACCGGCAGTTGACACCCATGCGTTGCCTGCAGCTCGATTCGATGATTCGACGGCTTTGCCCAGGACCAGGTCGCGCACCGCAACAGCCTGGAAGCGATAGGGTGATCATGCCGCTCCTTTGGCGAAGGAAGAAAAATGTCACGCGAATCGCTTCTCTTCTAGTCGTTCTGGTATCTGAGCCTTGTCCACACATACTTAGACTATCGTGGCGTGCTTCGTCTCATGCTTAAGAATAACTCGAACCAACGACTTCCACCACGCCCAGCCATCCTGAGCCACTCGGGCGATGTTCAAAGAACGACCTCGCAGACCCAGACCTAGCACTAGTCCCTCACGCAGCTGCCTTGACAAACAAAGCGATCATGACTGCCTGTGTCTCCGAGCAGCATTGCTGTAGCAGCGCGCACGCCCCTGCTGCCGGATCTCAGAACCGGTCGGTTTTGGCATGCGGTGTGCTCAACCAGTACTGGAACCACTCAAACTCACTCAACCCAAACGCTCACGGAAAGAACTCAAGCCACCCTTGTCAAACGAACCTAACGAAACTCTGCATATCTCGGCTGCGGGTCATTATGGCAGGCGCCCAGAAAATTCGATGTCTAGCAAGCTCATTCGGGGAGCGAAGCTCTTCCATTCATCCCCTGGATTGCCACAGGAGCCTCGGACCAGCGCTGGGACCCGCAACACAAGGCGTCCATCGACTTTTCTGTCATGCACCAGCAGAAGTTCGGGAGGTAATTGCAGGAAGCTCCAACATGTGATGCAGCTTCAATCGCAGTGATTACCCGGCGCTTGAATCTTGAGGGCCCCATGGTTAATTTCGAAGCTGCCTACCTCGTGAGAAAGTTCGAGGCATCGTGCACACAGCTTGCGCGAAAACCAAGCGGAAGATCTACAACTGGCCGCAGCACCCCCGAATACAAGCCATGCACCTGGAGATGAAGCCGTGATCACCATAATCGCCTTTAAACTTTAACTCAAGCCTGTGCAGAAGATGCGGACCGCCTCGAGCCAGCTGCCATGCAGTCGCCGGAAGCGTAGCCACCGCGCTAGCACCTGCGTCAGGATCCGCGCCAGGGTTGACTTTCTTTTGACAGACACATAGCAAGAAAACGATCACAGAGTGAGACATGAGACTGCCGAGGTTGCATTGACAACCCTCGGTCCCAAAGTTGCCGAACAAGCACAACAACAGCAGATGCCAGTCTAAGTCATGCAGGGGGGTGTCTCGCTTGACATGCCTGCCTAAGAATCTCCACACATGGAAGTGTCAGAACGGATATTCTGGCAAGAAAGCTAACAGGCTGAACTGGGAGTTCACTGAACAGGCTCACTGAACAGGTTCCAGACGAAAGGAGACAGGTCCCACCGCGACCAAATGGCCTGACCGGCAGTTGGCACCCATGCGTTGCCTGCAGCTCGATTCGACGGCTTCGCATATATAGTCATTCTAGTGTCTGAGCCTCGTCCACACATACCCAAACCACCGGGTTGCGCTTCGTCTCACGCTTAATAATAACTCGAACCATCGACTTCCACCACCCTCAGCCTATCTCGGGACTTTCTGGGCCACTCCGGCGACGTTCAGAGAACGACTTGGCACTAGTCCCTCGGACAGCTGCCCTGACAAACAAAGGATCATGATTGCCTCTGTTTCTGTCAGCGTTGCTGCAGCAGCGTGGATGCGGCTGCTGACGGATCTCAGAACAGGTCGGCTTTGGCGCTCTCACCTAATATCATCAGGCTGGAACCACTCAGCATCACTCAACACAAACGCTGACGGAAAAAGAAGTCGAACCACTCTTGTCAAACGAACATAACGAAATTCGGTTGCATTCATGCCAGTGATGGGCAGCGCCTAGAGACCTCGACGTCTAGCAAGCTCAATCGGAGGGCAAAGCTCTTCCTTCCAAATAACTCCAGGGTATTTCAGAGCGTCCCGCTACGCGCAGGCCCTAATAGTGATATACAACTTATACTTCATCCCCTGGATTGCCACAGGAGCCTCGGACCAGCGCTGGGACCCGCAACACAAGGCGTCCATCGCCTTTTCTGTCATGCACCAGCAGAAGTTCGGGAGGTAATTGCAGGAAGCTCCAACATGTGATGCAGCTTCAATCGCAGTGATTACCCGGCGCTTGAATCTTGAGGGCCCCATGGTTAATTTCGAAGCTGCCTACCTCGTGAGAAAGTTCGAGGCATCGTGCACACAGCTTGCGCGAAAACCAAGCGGAAGATCTACAACTGGCCGCAGCACCCCCGAATACAAGCCATGCACCTGGAGATGAAGCCGTGATCACCATAATCGCCTTTAAACTTTAACTCAAGCCTGTGCAGAAGATGCGGACCGCCTCGAGCCAGCTGCCATGCAGTCGCCGGAAGCGTAGCCACCGCGCTAGCACCTGCGTCAGGATCCGCGCCAGGGTTGACTTTCTTTTGACAGACACATAGCAAGAAAACGATCACAGAGTGAGACATGAGACTGCCGAGGTTGCATTGACAACCCTCGGTCCCTAGGTTGCCGAACAAGCACGACAACAGCAGATGCCAGTCTAAGACATCTTAACGCAGGGGTGCCCGAGAGTCTCTACATATGAAGTCAGAACGGATATTCTGGCAAGAAGGCTAACAAGCTGAACTGTGAGTCTATTGTTTGGGTTCCAAACGACACCGCGACCAAACGGGCTGACCGGCAGTTGGCGCCCACGCGCTGCCCGCAGCTCGATTCGACGGCTTGCGCAGGCCCAGAACAGCCTGGAAGTGATGGGCGATCATGATCCTTCGGGACGGAATGTCCCGCGAATCGCTTCTAGATTCTAGTCATTCTGGTCTCTGAGCCTTGTCCACACATACTCAAACTACCGTGTTGGGCTTCAGCTGCCTTGACTAACAAAGCTATCATGATTGCGTCTGCGCACAGCTTTGCGTCGGAATCTCGATGTGCTTGACGGCTGTGAACATGGAGGTGGCTACATGCGCTATTCAGCACGGCCATTCGATCGAAACCCTTGGTTTCCTTCCACAGGGATTCGGGCAGGGTCCATCATTCCTCGCAGATAGGGCTTCTGACTCCATGGCTGCTTCAGCCCTCTAGCTGAAAATTTGCGGGAGAGGCAACAACGCTTCGCTGCCAAGCTTTGCTGCACACGAGTGGTAGCAGTGCCGCTCTAGATTTTGGCGATGATGATTCGATCGAACCTTGTGACCTCAGATCGAACATTGCCTTTATGAAAACCTGCCAAAGCTCCGCGGAACCTGCCAACTGCAGCTGCCTGCGTCCGGCACGTAGCGACCTTGGCACCGGGTTGTGCCTGCAACTGCATGCGGGCTCAACAGGACAAAGTGCAGTGCTGGCGTTGGAGAGTTAGGAGTAGCTTTGACGCACCTTTTAATTCGCAGGCATAGCAAATCGCCTGCTCCCAGGACTCCTGCTGCGATCCTTCAGAGGAATTCACGCTTGCCGGGGGGCCTTCGCAGTCGGACCAGGTGCACGCAGAACCAGTCGTACCGAGTTGAGCTGCTCGGAAGCAGCTAGATGCACCAACGTTTGCCTTGGCAACTGAGATCAGAAGCCCCTGGCCTATTGCGCGTCAACCGTCTCTCATTCCGCATCGGAGGCAATCGAAGCTGAACAGCGGCACTATCAGTTACTAGCAGGGTTGCACTTAGACTTGCTTTGCCGAGGGGCATCACCAAGGCAGGCAATCTTGTCAGCGAAGTTCTCCCAGAACCCTGGCGACGGCTGGCCTCGGACCACGTGTGCGCAACAAGGACTCCCGGCCTTACTTCGGGCCGTGCATGTGCAGCAGCCTCTACTTCACACCGATGACCAGAGCCGACTTTTCACAGGGATGAGACGGCTAAGGAGCCAACCTTCCGGAAGGGCCACTCTGCTCGATTATGGCCCTCACCTCAGCCACAAGAGACATCGACCACCGCGCGTGGCCGCCTTTGGACTGGAGAAGCTACCTCACAATCACGCTGCCCTGCGCGCTGCGGGCCTTCTTGCTATGCATCACCGAGAGCCACGTGGGTGCCAAGCGGTGGTTTGATCCGAAGCCAGCAAATCACTCACACATACTCACACGTGTTCACCGCATACTGCAACAGGCCAGGCAACTGGCGACACATTGACGCATGCGACTGCACCGGCAACAACCGACGGCTCGTGTTGCCAGATCAGCTGAGGCGAGGGCCTCGGCCGGGCCAGGATTTCGGTGTCACGTGCACCAAGTCTCGCCTTCGAGCGAGGAGAGCGGATGGGTGCAGCCTCGGCCCAAACATGCACTCCACGGCGCGTGCAACCATTGCGGGGTTAGGGTTCAAGGCCCTCAGCTTGGAGTTACATGACTTACAGATGCACCGATCAACTAGCACATCCGGCACTTCGACTGCAACCGAGTGTGTCCAAATTGCCGATCAATTGCCGACCTGCGTTCGGTGCAGTGCTTCGGGTTTGCACGGGCATGCCTGGCAAAACCAGATAGGGTTACTGGATAGACACTGCGCGATTGTTCGTATGTCACGTCTATGGCCGAGGGCGTGAGCCTTAGGATTTGGGCTTGGTGATCCTTCAACCTCAGGCACCCCAAAGCCCCTGCCGGAAAAGTATCTGTCAATGGCTTTTCGGCGAACCCTCAAGTAAGGCCTGCAAACCCCAAACGGACAAAAAAAACACCACATCCGGAAAGCAAGCAAGATACCCAAAAGAACTATTCAACCCCCGAAACGGAAAATCGCAAGAAACCGAGGACAGCCTTTGAATTTGAGGGAACCCGAATCAGGTGCCGGCCTGCTGGCGCGCATGGTGCTACAAAAAAACCCGACATCTCGAAATCTAAACCCCAACCCCATCCGAGCTCGCAGCAGGTGTATGCGACCTCCCAGCCTCTCCAGCTGCTCAACGGAAGCTACAAAAGTGGGGTCTTCGTGATGGGGACTTCAAAAGCGTTAGACGACCACAAACGCAGCAAGATCCAAAACTTGGCTGGCACGCTAGGTTGGAAATTCCTGCAAGAGCTAAACCCTGACTTCCTGGGTCCCCATGTTCATCTGGGCTTGATCCGCACGACCACGAGGAGTATGTCGCCTGTCAAGACACGCCATCGTCATCCACGTTCTACGCCCCACGCCTTATAAAGCTCGCCCAAGACTTCAGCACCTCAACGCTGAAATTGCACGGTATTGCAAACTTCCTTTCGACCTGCATGGCAACAAACCATACGAACAGACTCCTTTACTAATTGCTCGGCCCTGTCTCATACCGAATGGCGGTTGCACGACACGAGTGGAGGATACATCCGGTGGTAAATCTACGAGTTAAGGTTTGATGAAACAGTGGCTGATGATGGCTGCGGACATTTGTAGAGTAAGCCCTATAGTCCTAGCCCTCTAGCCTAAACTGAAAGCTGGAAGCTAGAAGTGCCGGTACTCCCTACGCTCGAACTCCAAGCCTCTCAAGAGGGATCGTAAGCCCTGGTGTGGGGAATTCAGTTGCTGAATCTTTCGTGATTGCTGATGCACACGGGCATAGTTGCTGAGGCGTGCCTTGTAGTTGATGGCGCGAAGTTGCTGATTCGTGCCGGGCTGCTGACTATGTATTTCGCTTTGATTATGAACAAATTTTATCTTTTGCGAATGAACGAAGCAGAGAAATCGTGCGTTCCTTACATTTCATCTGGTTCCTTCGCTCGTTCCTCACATC